CGGGTTGCAGCCTGGTATTATACTGTCGTTTGGGCCAAATCCCCACATTCCTTCAGACGGCATGTGTATTTTGCTTAATGTCTTTTTCATATCATCTGTCTACGCACGGCGTGTCATCTGCATGCCCACAGTTGTTGACGACTTGCACGGAGACCAGCTCCAGACACGTTCACACTTGGCCTTCGTTCAGGTGAATTCAATGAGTGAGTGCATTTCGATTTGTTTCAGATATTACACAACATGTCATATTTGGATGAACTTGTTCTTGAACCCACATTCAGCACATACACCTACAACAAGTCAGTACACTGCTTACTGATTTACCGTTTCTCTAATTCTTTATAGCCTAAGTGGCCTCTGCGTTGATATAAATGGGGAATACACGCTGATAAACATCACATGATGGGGCTAATGAGTTACACTCAGCAAGCAGCAGTAGTTGAGGTATATACATGTCGCAGTATTTACATGAAAGTGGGGACATTTGGAGTTTGGGAGGACAGCCCTCAGTGTCTTGGACATCTACGACAGTGTTATAACCCACAAGCAAGAGTATAGACAGATGACTGGCAGCCAGGGTATATCTAGGTGTAACCCACAAGCAAGAGTATAGACAGATGACTGGCAATCAGGGTAGATCCAGGTGTAACCCACAAGCAAGAGTATAGACAGATGACTGGCAATCAGGGTAGATCTAGGTGTAACCCACTAGCACGAGTATAGACCGATGACTGGCAATCAGGGTAGATCTAGGTGTAACCCACAAGCACGAGTATAGACAGATGACTGGCAATCAGGGTAGATATGTAACCCACAAGCACGAGTATAGACAGATGACTGGCAATCAGGGTAGATATGTAACCCACAAGCACGATTATAGACAGATGACTGGCAATCAGGGTAGATCTAGGTGTAACCCACAAGCACGAGTATAGACCGATGACTGGCAATCAGGGTAGATATGTAACCCACAAGCACGAGTATAGACAGATGACTGGCAATCAGGGTAGATCTAGGTGTAACCCACAAGCACGAGTATATAGACAGACGACTGGCAATCAGGGTAGATCTAGGTGTAACCCACTAGCACGAGTATAGACAGATGACTGGCAATCAGGGTAGATCTAGGTGTAACCCACAAGCACAAGTATAGACCGATGACTGGCAATCAGGGTAGATCTAGGTGTAACCCACAAGCACGAGTATAGACAGATGACTGGCAATCAGGGTAGATATGTAACCCACAAGCACGAGTATAGACAGATGACTGGCAATCAGGGTAGATCTAGGTGTAACCCTCTAGCACGAGTATAGACAGATGACTGGCAATCAGGGTAGATCTAAGTTTAACCCACAAGCGCGAGTATGGACAGATAGACTGGCAATCAGGATAGATCTCGGGTATAACTCCGGCAAACGGTATAGACGCAGTCATACCCGGTTCCCGAGACGAGTGGGGCACCCATAAACCACTTCATACAGTTTTATCGTGAAAACGTATGAAAAACATAACGGTGTAAAATGTTCGATTTCGCTTCTCGTTTTTTTCCCAATATTTTCGTAAACCTGTTTTATGATGACTTTGCTGCCTCCAAGCTGCTATTGACTGGGGAGTGGAAGGTACACAGACAGGCTACCTCGGAGTAGTTCTACTGCCATCTCAGTCTCAAACGTGATGAGTCTTGAATTATATTGTTTGGAGATTCCAACATTCTGTGAGGGCGGTATTTGCTTTTGCTGTCTGCTTTGCTAAACCGAGTTGTCAATTAAAAAAGGCTACTCAAGTCGAAAAACTATTTCCAGATCCGTGTGACGGCGATGTCTCCAATATCCTATAAATCTGAGTCCTACCAAGCCCGAGACGGCATCTCTAGATGCCAAGTGGCTGTGTGTGGAGCCGTCATTCACGAGTGCAACAACTCACAATGCGACAGTTATCACTTTTTTCTAATCATCACTAGCTTGATCTATGTATATTCTCAGCATGACATACATTATGGTCATACAGAATTAAAGTTATGGACAACATTCTGATAAATAAACGCACTTGGCGGTTGTGTACCTTGGCGCTATAACCGCTGATGGGAGATAGTTCGAATGTATGATTGTAACGAAATTGTCTGAGCCTTGTACATCACTGCCAGCAGCGACCATCTCCTACATTAGCAGAAATGAGCGTTTGTGCCAATATCCAGTGTGGATGGAATGATATTTCTCACGGAATGTGTTATGATAATACACTATCGATAACAATGTAAAGGTCAAAGGATGTTTGGCGTGGACGTATTAGAGTAAGTTATAGATGTGTACTAGAGTAGACTTTGACGAGAGACTAGGACAAGGAGTCATACAAAGTGAGTGAGTTGGTGAGTTTAGTGTAGCTCCGTCACCATCATTATAGTGACACAGCGGCAGATCTGCTGGAAGATGGGGGATGGACCAAGTAGACGGTGACAACCACGGACATGATGATGAAAACTCAAGATGTATTATCACCAGGGACTCGAACATACAACCACACATACGCCTGAGATACCGCAAATTCACTCCGAGGAAATCACAAGTGTACAAAACAAGTAAATCGGAAACATGATTCAAAGGGAAAATAATAATAATAATAATAAGTGTTCTTGTATAGCGCACAAATCAAACTGCAAGGCAATTTCTCTAGGCGCTAAAAGATAGAGTGATCTGAAGAAAGGATTAAAGTTCATAAGCTTGTTTAAAAAGGAAAGTTTTCAGTTGGGACTGGAAAGATTCCACGGACGCGGCTTGTCGGATGTGAAGAGGCAGTGAGTTCCAGAAAAGGGGGAGCTGTGTAAGAGAACTGTCTATGTCCATATGACTTTAATCTGACCTTGGGGACATTCAACTGACAATTAGAACTTGATCTTAAAAGCCGTGGTGGGACATATTCACTGAGGAGATCTTTCAGATAGATTGGAGCTTTGTCATGGAGGCACTTGAAAGCGAGAGTGAGGATTTTATATTCTATTCTATTCTATTTTAATGTATCTGGTATCTGAAACATGGAAATTCCAGAGTTTCAAATTCGGTTTTGCAAGGTCATTGCATTTAAGTAAATTATATATTTCCAAAATATTCCTACCTAAACTTGCTTGCGTGACACCCGTACAACCTAATAGCATCGCGCTATTAACAGTGATGATCTTGACACAGACATTCTACGAACAACTTTTAGTACTGACGGGACCCTTTAAGATCCGAGTTACCACTGATTTTCAGTAACCCATGCTTGTCGAAAGAGGCGACTAGCAGGATGGGGTGGTCAGGCTCGCTGACTTGGTTGACGTGTCATCGGTTCCCAGTTGCTCAGATAGATGCTCATGCTGTTAAGCACTGGATTATCTGGTCCATACCGGCGCCATATAGCTAGAATATTGCTGAGTGCGGCGTAAAACTAAACTCTCTCACTCACTAGTCCTGACGGCAAAACCAGAGCTACAAATTTCGTTAACACGATTCTGCCCCACTCTGCACATGCATATGTTTAATGATAAACGACAGCAACAAATATGTCTAACCTTCATCACATGTTCAACACGTGTTCACCACATGTTCATCACACATCACACATTCATCACACATGACATATCCATCACCTTTACATGATTCTCCATTTCAGTCAATATACAGTCTTTCATTGATGGTTATTTGTGTAAATGTCAAAATGTGCAGAAATAAAAAACAACAACATAAAACGCTCAATAGCGCCAATAACCTGTACCCCGATATAATTATATACTTGAGACAACGTAGGCCCATATAGCGTTGGATCAGGCTTATCTTGTACGCGTGCATGAATTGATCGACAGCGTGTACACACCTGTCGTACAGCATGCACTTGAGAGAAGATGTTTGATTTAAGACAAAGCTGGGAACACTGGGATCAATACAAGGAATAAAAGAATGGAGATAGCAATGGATTTTACCAGGGTGGTCGTGAAGCTAGCAAAGAATGTGATGTGAGCTGCACACCTCTATACACGACTCAACGTCCTGATAACCGATTCCCTGTATAATTCTACATAAGATATCACGTATGCATGTTGTTATGGATAGGTGGAGTCATTGTCCACTCTGCTAGTCGTAGGTTCGAGTCTCGGTGGAGTGGTTAGAGAAGACTTCACCTCAAACGAACGATCTGAACTGACCTGCATCAAACCCACTGGCCATATGTGTCAGGTCCACTAGTTTTTGCCATTTTGTTTAGTCAAATACACGGACATTGCAAATATGGTGATTGTCAATATCCTAATGTAATGCAACTTAGAAATAATGCTAAAACAACCTAAATCAGTGTTAAAATAATTTTTTAAATGAACCAAACGAGAAACATTATACCTGCATAAGTACTATTGACGACCCTGTTGTTGCTGATGTTCCTGGGAACAGACGGCGCAATCAGACATCTGTATGTTCCGTTGACCTACCTCGGGGAGACAGATCTATGTACAGCAACAGGCGATGTCTCCCCCTGTCATACAAGCCACACGAAACTGGCATACAGAGGTAACTGATGTTCTTCCCACTCCCTAACGTAGAATTGGGAAAACCGTGACAGTGATAAGATTGTCGTACATGTGAGATGTACGGCGGGAAATTGCCCTGTCATTGAGTCGGGAACTGTAGAGCTGAGCGACAGTTGTGTTCGACAATGTAACGTGGCCAAGGTTTAATTGAAGTAATAGAATCGCACAAATCTAAGTTGAATAACGCTAATAAATGGGACAACTCCCTGTCCTTAATCATACGAAAGATGTTTCGAAGACAAAGTTCATATACGATGCTTGAAAACGGTAGAAGAATCTATACCGAAACGACGCCATTGTGAAAATAAGGAAGTTGATCATCCATAAAGTCTTGTCATCATCATTTCCGATTCCGACTAGATCATTAGCAGATGTTTATGGTTTACTTCACTTCAAATAGTAATATGTCAAGATCACAATTAGTGTAATATGTTTACCTTTATTCTATGTCTGAGGTGTGAGAAATTGGGAGTGAAAAGAGGTTAGCTGGAGCAGTGATGTAAGCGTTGAGCGAGTGTTGGGTGTGCAGTATGAGAGCCATTGTATGTATCTGGGTAGTAAGCTTGGGGTCAATCAAGTAGCTTGGGGGGTATATAAGGACTGATTTGAAAGTTGTGAGTTGGCAGCCAGTTGGAAAGTGTATGTGCGTGTCAGGTTGGCTGGTTTTCCTGAATATTCAACTGGTGTGAGTATGATAATGTTATGTTATGTTTCAGTCAGAATATGACTATGAATTGTATATATATATATAGTACAATTATTGGTATTTCACCTTAAAGCATGTAACTATAACTTAGGTGAAATATAGGTAATATTATTGCTGTGGTTAGTAATATGATGGAATTGTGATCAGTATGTGACATTTTGAGAATGTCTCTAAGTTAGTATACTGGCGTAATGATGATATTCATTCAGCAGGTCACGTGTAATGTATAGTGGTAGTGTTGTGTATTAAGTGACTGTAAAACAGCCCTGTAAACATATCCTGTGTATGTGATCTATATATATGTATATATATAGAAATATAGATAGTGTACATGTAAAGTCACCAAGTACATGGTGTGCTTTTTTGTATCCAGTGTCCGGGGTAGGTGTTACACCCCGTAAGGCTGTCCCGCCGATCGTTAGGGATCGACCCTGACATGCCGCCCGTGGATGTGAAGTAACATCTGTGTATCTGGGGAGAGGAACGTGCCCCGTCAGTAAGGCTGTACCAACTGATCAACAGGAATCAAATGGACATGCCGCCAAAGTATGTAGAGACTTACATGCAGGGGAAGGACCCCTAACCTACCACCAAAGACCTGAACTGTCTGGAAACCCCACATGTGGTGACAATTACATCGTCAGTGATGTATACAGCATGCAACTGATTCGTGCTTTTGATGAATTGTTTACTGATATCATCTTCCATGTACATGACATAATCATATGAATTGTTGTGTGTTTCTTTAAAAAGACAATTGTGGTGTTGTAATATTTTGAGTATTGATGTGAGTGTATGCGAGTATATGTGAATGGTGAGGTATGATGTGCTTGTTTGGGTGTGTAGGGGAAAGAGTGTGAGGGTGTTTGGTAATGCGAGAATGAAGTTGTGATGCAAGGCTATATTAACTATTGTAAATAGGGTAAATTTAGTTAATAAATTATATTAACTTTTAAATCTGGTTTTGTGTTTACTCTAGTATGTGACATTTTGGTGGCAGCGGTGGGATGTAAAATTTTCTGTCACATCTGGAGTAAAAATTGTTTTGACCGTAGGTGATAGTATGGTGGACTTGAGACCTATTTAGCCTTTCTCAGCCTTTAACCATGTTTTGGCCGTCGGTATGCTCTAAGGTGTACGAGCCCCTGTGTTAACTCAGCAGGGAAGTGTGCAGTAGTGTATCCCTTTTACGGAAGTGTAAAGGATTGATACATGGGAAGTCAGATTTTAGTGGGAGTTTTGTTTTTACTTGTGATTGCTGGCTGGTTTGTCACCATGGATTTACAGAAAATTGCAGATTTTGGTGAAAGTTTGGGTTATACGGGAAAGGATTTACAGTTGTTTGTGAAAGAACAGATTGACATACAGCTAGCTAAAGAGCAGGCGGAACGAGAAAGAGAGGAGAGAGCGAATGTAAGGGAAGCTAAAAAGTTTGAGCAAGAGTTGGAGAAGGCTAAGCTGGAGAGAGAGAAAGAAAAGGAGAGAATGGAGGTAGAGAAGGCTAGGATAGAAGCAGAGAAAGAGAAGGTGAGGTTACATGTGGAGTTAGAGAAAGAAAAAGCCCAGTTAGAAATGACTGAAAGAGTAGAATTGGAGAAACTAAAGAAAGAAAATAGTATGAGTGAGGCTCCAGAGAACAGTACCCCTTCTCTCCCAGGTAAACCTAAAATGCCTAAAATGCCCCCTTTTGAAGATCAGAAAGATAACATTGATGCCTATTTGCAAAGGTTCGAGCGAATAGCTAAGACACAAGCATGGCCAGAGTCACAGTGGGCAGCTTATCTGAGTACACTATTGAAAGGTAAGGCGTTAGAAGTTTATTCTCGGTTAGATCAAAATGATGCGGAGAAATATGAGGAAGTGAAGACTGCTCTTTTGAAGAGGTATGACATGACTGAGGATGGATTCCATCAACGTTTCAGGACAGCTAAGATTGAAACAGGTGAGACTTTTTCTCAGTTTGTAGTGAGAATCGAGAATTATTTCACCAGGTGGATAGAGTTAAGTGGCACTGAGAAAACCTATGACGGAGTGAGAGATCTCCTACTGAGGGAACAGATTCTCAATAGTACAGGGAGAGATTTGAGCATATTTCTGAGGGAGAGGACGCCTAAGACAGCTATGGAAATGGCTAAACTTGCTGAACAATTTGTTGAAGCACGAGGCACAGGATTTAGTAAGTTCCAGAATCCTTTGTATAGCAAGACTAACAAATATGTTCACCAAGACAGAATTAAAGAGAAAGGTTATGAGGACAGTAGAAAAGTCAAGAACATAGATGACAAAAGAGAACCTACTAAGTTTGTTCCTATAAATCAGAGGACATGTTATGCTTGTGGGGAGGTGGGTCACATAGCCTCTCGATGTTCTAAGCATCATCCAAAAGGTATGAAGGTTGCTAGTATTTACCAAGAGGAGTCTGTTGATATAGTACAGGGTGGTCTGATAAATGAGGCTCAGGTGGACGCACATGTAGAGAAGGATAAAATCATCTCAGATGATAATGAGGGGAGGTAACTTCAGGGACAATGTGTGGAATGTGTGGAACAATGCCTATTTGTCAAGGTAAAGTGTTTGATCATGCTGTGCAGGTATTACGAGATACCGGTTGTAGTGGGGTTATTGTTAGGAAATCTTTGGTTGATGAACAGCATTTCACTTCAGATACTCAGACATGTGTAATGGCAGATAGTAGAGCAGTTGTAATTCCGGTAGCTTGGATTACTATTGATACTCCCTTCTACAGAGGTACTGTTAAAGCAGCTTGTCTGGAGACTCCTTTGTGTGATTTGATCTTGGGTAATATTCCTGGAGTTAGAGCCCCTGATAATCCCTTTCCAGAAACCACAGAAACAGTGCTAGCAGTAGAAACTAGAGGTCAGAAAAGAGTGAGAGAGGAAGGTAAAATCCCCATGAAAACTATGGAGTCAGTTGGTGTTTCCTTGAGTAGAAATGAGTTTGTGGAAATGCAGAGGCAGGATGAGAGTTTGAATAAAGTGAGGAAAATGGCGGAAGAGAACAAGGTCAGAACCACGACTCATGGTACGTCTGGTTACTTCATTGATCATGGTTTGTTGTACAGGAGGCATGTTTCTGCTAAAGTCAATAAGAGTAAACCAGTTGTACAAGCAGTTGTACCCATAAGTTTGAGAAAGGATGTTTTGAGAGTGTCTCATGAGGCATTGATGGGTGGTCATATGGGTAGCAAGAAGACATTGGATAGAGTGACCTCACAGTTTTATTGGCCTGGTGTACAGGGAGATGTTAGACGGCATTGCATATCCTGTGATATTTGTCAGCGTACTACTTCCAAGGGGAAGGTCAGTAAAATCCCATTAGGTACAATGCCGTTGATTGAGACACCTTTTGAGAGAATAGCAGTTGATCTGATTGGCCCGATATACCCTGTTACAGATAGAGGCAATAGGTATATCTTAACAGTTGTAGATTATGCAACTAGATATCCTGAAGCAGTAGCATTGCCTAGGATTGAGACCGAGTATGTGGCAGAAGCATTGCTGGAGATATTTTGTAGAGTTGGTGTCCCAAAGGAAATATTGACAGACATGGGTTCCCAATTTACTTCTGCAGTAAGGAAGGAAGTTAGAAGGTTGTTGTCATTGAAACAGTTGACCACTACACCATATCACCCCATGTGTAATGGCTTGGTTGAGCGATTCAACGGTACTTTGAAAACCATGTTGAAAAGGTTAAGTGCTGAACGGCCTCAAGATTGGGATAGATATATACCTGCACTTTTATTTGCTTATAGGGAGGTACCACAAGAAAGTCTCGGTTTTGCACCTTTTGACTTATTGTATGGCAGGAAGATTAGAGGTCCAGTACAAATTTTACGTGAACTGTGGACTAAGGACATTGAAAATGATGAGGTCAGGACTACTTATGAATATGTAGTAGATCTTCAAAACAGGATTGAAGATACAATGCGCTTAGCACACCAGGAACTAAAGAAAGCTTCTGGAAGGTATCAGAAATATTACAATGCCAAGTCGAAGGATAGAAAGATGGTCCCAGGAGACAAGGTATTGGTATTGTTGCCAACCAATCAGAACAAGTTATTACTACAGTGGAAAGGTCCTTACACCATTGAGGAACGGTTTGGTATTGGCAATTATCGAGTGAGAGTCGGGAATAAGTTGAAAACTTACCATGCAAACTTATTGAAGAAGTATGTTGACAGGGAAATAGCTGTGAACACAATGTTGTGTGATGTAAGTATCACTAGCTTACAGTATGTAGGAGCAGGGTTAATTGATGTTCAAGAAGCAATGGATGAGGTTAGCTCAGGTTCAGACCAGTTGGATGTCATGACGATCCCTCTTTGTGCTAAGGAAACTTACTTGGACGTGGACATTTCCCCAGACTTGACACCAGAGCAGAAACAGGAAGTGAGTGAGTTAGTTTCTGAATATCAAGATGTGCTCACAGATTTACCTGGTAGGACAGACTCTATAGAGTACAAAATTAAATTAACCTCTACTGAACCAATCAGATCCAAGCCCTATCCTTTGCCCCATCATATGCGGGAAGTTGTTGCTAGAGAGGTAGAGTCCATGTTAAGGATGGATGTGATAGAACCATCAGATTCACCTTATGCTGCGCCAGTAGTGCTGATTAAGAAACCTGACGAGACTTACCGTTTTTGTACAGATTTCAGGAAATTGAATCAGATATCAGTATTTGATCCGGAACCTATTCCATTGGCTGAAGCTGTATTCAGCAAGTTGAGTAAATGCAAATACCTGACCAAAATTGACATTAGCAAGGCTTACTGGCAAATTCCCATGGAGGAAAGGAGCAAAGAATATACTGCCTTTATTACCCCTGATGGGTTGTATCAATGGAAGGTTATGCCATTTGGGGTTGTGAATGCTCCGGCAGTTTTTCCCGGTTGATGAGAAAGTCCTAAAAGATATTCCTAATGTTGATAATTATATTGATGACATCTTGGAGGGTACAGAGTACTGGGAGAACCACAAAAGTAGTCTCAGAATGGTATTTGATCATCTCAGGCAGCATCATTTGACAGCACGCCCTTCCAAGGTAAAGATAGGGTATACCCATTTGGAATTCCTAGGTCACACAGTTGGGGAAGGTCATTTAGCCCCAAATTCACACAATCTAGACAAGATTCTGAATCTGGCCAGACCAGAGACGAAGAAACAGGTAAGAGCTCTGATAGGACTTACTAGTTATTACCGGAAGTTCATTCCTAACTTTGCGGCAATTGCGGCACCACTCACTGATTTGACAAAAAAAGGTAAGTCGAACAAGGTGGAATGGACAGAATGTCAAGAGAATGCGTTCCAAGCTCTGAAGAAGTATTTGTCATCTTTTCCGATTTTACGGCTTCCAGATTTACACAAACCATTCTTAGTTCGCACTGATGCTTCTGATGTAGGGATAGGTGGAATATTATTGCAGGAGCATGAAAATGAGAAATTTCCCATAATGTTTGTGAGTAGAAAGCTACTGAAAAGAGAGAAAGCATACTCCACTATTGAGAAAGAGTGTTTGGCAATAGTGTGGGCAGTACAAAAGTTGACGAGATATCTATACGGGAGAGAGTTTGTGTTAGAAACTGATCACCAGCCTCTTGTATGGATGAGCAAAGCAAAGTTGACAAACGGGCGAGTCATGAGGTGGGCCTTAGCATTGCAGCCTTACCGATTCCTGATACGTGCGGTGAAAGGTTCTGAGAATGTTGGTGCTGATTTGCTGAGTCGATGTCCACCATAACCGGTTTTTGTCTTGTGAATTATATTCACAAATGTATTCTCTAAGATTTAGAGTCAGGCAACTGTACATAGTTCATGTGATCTTTTGAGTGTTATAACTGTTTCGTAAACAGTTATCTAAGGGGGCAGGTATTGTCAAGATCACAATTAGAGTAATATGTTATAATCTATGTCTGAGGTGTGAGAAATTGGGAGTGAAAAGAGGTTAGCTGGAGCAGTGATGTAAGCGTTGAGCGAGTGTTGGGGTGTGCAGTATGAGAGCCATTGTATGTATCTGGGTAGTAAGCTTGGGGTCAATCAAGTAGCTTGGGGGGTATATAAGGACTGATTTGAAAGTTGTGAGTTGGCAGCCAGTTGGAAAGTGTATGTGCGTGTCAGGTTGGCTGGTTTTCCTGAATATTCAACTGGTGTGAGTATGATAATGTTATGTTATGTTTCAGTCAGAATATGACTATGAATTGTATATATATATATAGTAAAATTATTGGTATTTCACCTTAAAGCATGTAACTATAACTAAGGTGAAATATAGGTAATATTATTGCAATGGTTAGTAATATAATGGAATTGTGATCAGTATGTGACATTTTGAGAATGTCTTTAAGTTAGTCTACTGGCATAATGATGATATTCATTCAGCAGGTCACGTGTAATGTATAGTGGTAGTGTTGTGTATTAAGTGACTGTAAAACAGCCCTGTAAACATATCCTGTGTATGTGATCTATATATATGTATATATATAGAAATATAGAGAGTGTACATGTAAAGTCACCAAGTAAAGGGTGTGCTTTTTGTATCCAGTGTCCGGGGTAGGTGTTACAC